CTGCATTCATTATTTGTGTTTAACTGTGAAACTTGCATCTTGTCTGTACTCTTGAAATTGAATAAAATTTCATGAGACTTGTTAATGTAGAGAAAAGCAATGACTGTTCAGTTGGTTGTACACTAAAGCCTCAGACCTTGACCTTATTTCATGGTTTAATTAGGAACCAAAGGGCTTTCTCAGACATGCTTTTCTTCTAGATGGCACCTTTGCATTTGTATGGCTTACATATTTCAAACTTGAGTGTGGTGGTGTATACCTATAATCCCAGCAATTTGGGAGGCTAAAACAGAATTACAAGTTTGAGGCCAGCCTGGGCCACCTGGCAAGAACCTGTCTCAAAAATAACTGGGGGTGCAGCTCAGTAGTAAAGGGCTCTGGGTTCAATCCAAAGACCCCAGCCAGTGTTTGGTTTTCAAAGATACCAATTCCATTTATTCTCTCCAGAGTAGGCTGTAGGTCCCTATCAGCCCGCATGTCTAGTGGATCAAACTCTGTCCACTCCAGCTCCAAAATAACCTATCAAATACTGTCACCTTAATTCAAGCCACCAGTATCTTAAATGGAGAAGTGACCTCTGCATACACTTCGTACACATCATCTGTTAGCACAGTAGCTAGAACATTCTTTAAGTACACTTTAAGTTCAAAAGCTTGGCTTCCCCTAGAAAGCTCTACATGATCACTTCAGTTGAATCTGCGTTTCCCTCTTACTATATGCCCAATATTCCTAATGTCTGTGGAAAGTTATGAACTCTACCTAACAAACTGTATAAGGAGGACTCCCGTATTTACGATCAATGTCCATCATACAAGGCTGGATTCCCAGTGGATAAAATACGTAAGGCCCATGGGAACATTAAGTGTAAACACAGTGGCCTCATCACTCCAGCAGCCTTGGGACACTTCTGGATGAAAGGTGGTTCTAAGCATAGGACAGACACTTCACCACCAGGGTCCACAGTAAGGATTACACTAAACCTAAAGCTACAATTGCTGCCTGATTATTTAGGGCTTTTTTTTTTTTTTTTAAAAGGTTGGCCACCAGCCAAAAAAAAGGTGTCAGTATATTAGCAGCAAAATTGGCCTGGTTATTATGAAAGAGGGTTTGTAGTACAAGGCAGGATATTCAGGGCTTTGGGGTCTCCCTTGGGCATTTCTTAGGATAACAGTTTCTTGACTATTAAAAGTGGATAATTACCACACTCATCACCTTACAAGGGCATAGTAAGCAGTGACTCAACTCAATTTCCCCACAAGGGATGAAGAAGCCTGGCACAATGGTGCATGCCTGTAATCCCAGCCACTTGGGAAGCTGAGGTGGAAGGATCATGAGTTCAAACCCAGCCTCAGCAACTTAGCAAGTCCCTATCTCTAATAAAATATTTTAAAAGGGCTGGGGATATTGCTCAGTGGTTAATTGCCCCTGGGTTCAATCCCTGGCACCAAAAGGGGGGGTGGAGGATGAAGATGTTGATACTATGAGGAAAACAAAATTCAATTAATAATTCTAATTTCCACATGTGTGGGGTTTTCCCAAACTCAGTTCTCTGGGTGTTGTCATGGCCACAGCCCAATTATGCCAGGTCAGTGTGGTAGGTTGTTGGAAAGCCAAAGTGCCTGGACTCAGTGAGGGAGACATGACATTGGGGCAGATCAGTGACTTCCAAGAAGAGTTCAGTAGCAACAGGCTGAGCAGATGGCACCTTCAACCTTCATGGTGTTTCACCAAGCACTGCCTCCTCTAATGGTGTTAGTTGGGTAGTGGCCAGCTAGATACGTGGCACATACCCTTTTTCACAGTGCCCTCCATTCCACATCAGGCCCCAAAGAAGGGTTTTACATTAGGCTGCAGAAGCAGTGACTTCATCAGCATTAGCTTGCTTGTATGACCAACATTCCAAGGAGTAACTGTCCAGATGTACATGCAGTAAAACAGCTTTCTTCAGATGACACTAACTTGCTCTGGTTTTCAGCATGTACAAAAGAAAGCCAGTGTCTTTCAAGGTAATATGTATCTGCCATGTGGTGACACAGAGCATAGCTGTAATCACAGCCATTTGGAGGCTGAGGCAGTAGGATCACAATTTCAAAGTCAATCTGGGTAATTTAGTGAGACCAATCTCCAGTATTTGCATACGTATCTAGACTTTCTGGTCTAGGTTTGCTCTCATTTTCCCTTTGGCTAGGGTTTTTTTGGCAAAAAGGGGCACTCAAGGACATTTTTTCCCCTTTTTAACTTATTGTCTCCCTCTTTAGAATTGAGACAGGTGTTCTAAAACTCAAAATACAATCCTTATACTACCTGGAGTTAGCATCAGATCTCCACAGGTTAGTTAAGGATTCAGTCTCACAAGACTCAGTCCCCACTCAAATGACAATCACACATCTTTGTTGTTTTGGGTTTATGTGTGATTGATAGGCATCAAATCCCCTTATATGTATGCCAGGCAAGTGCCCTACCACTGACCTATCCAGCAGTTTTTAAATTGTATTATGAGAAGGTCCCAAACTACATTGCCTAGGCTGGCCTCCAACTTGAGGTCTTCCTATCTCAGCCTCCCAAACACCTGGATTACAGGTCTGTACCACCAACACTAGCTGGCGTCTGGTTATTTATTTAGTGGTGTTGGGGATTGAACCCAGGGCCTTATGCATGCAAGGCAAGCACTCTACCAACTGAGCTACATTCCCAGTCCTTTCTCAGATTATTTTTAACTGACCAGTTAAACATGTCATTTATTGGCTTGTAGTTCTCATATCTCCCTCTTCAAGTTTGATAATTTTGTAGAGCAGCACACAGGATTCAGGAAAACTGTTAGGGTCTGTAAACAAGTCAGGATGGCGCCTGGCATTTTGCCAGAGGGAGTAGTTTGTGAAGTAACACCAGCGAGCCATTAAGTGTGGAGATTCCTTATTGGTTGACTGCTCTATCTAGTTTATGTTAATTAAGATAAGCTGTGTGGAATGTATATATATATTGCTCCTGTCCTACAATAAACGGCTCCCACTGGCTCCAGAGGCTGGGGCAAAATTCAAAGCCAGCCTCAGCAACTCAGCCAGGCTTGTCTCTAAAAGGACTGGGGATGTGACTCAGTGGTTAAGCACCCCTGGGTTTAATCTGCTATACCAAAACAAACAAACAAAAAACCCCTAAACAAAGCAGATGCTCTAATGATGAGATGGAAGAACTACATAGAGCAAGATCACATGGAAGGGACACGATTCATTCAATAATTGGCCATTGGTAAGTCAATCCCAGCCCCTTCTTATATATAACCTCAGAGATGGGGAAGTGGTGTGAAATTTCCACCCTCTTACATGGGTGGGTTTCCTGGTAAATAGCTCCTATACTGAGAGGCTTTTTAAGTCACCCTTACACTAACATAAAACTCCAGTGTGGTTCAAAGGTGCTTGTGATGAACAAAAAATGCTTGTTTCACCTGTTATCTCCCTTATTCCTCTTCACCTAGGAAATCTAAAGGGTCCAGTACCTGGCACAGAACTCGAGACAGACAAATAAATCTTTTTGTCATTGTAATGCAATACCACAGTATCCCATTAGGGACAAGCATTCTAGACCAGTAGGGTGAGAATCAGTATTAGCCTCAAACCATTTACATCAGTAGGGATGTTCCACCTCGATGTATTCATCTTCTTGTTTGTGGTACTTGGGATTGAACCCAGGGGTGCTCTACCACCAAGCTACACTCCCAGGCCATTTTGGGACAGGCTCTTGGTAAACAGCATTATGTATAAGATCTTGGGATATGTAAGACTGAAATGCCTCTGATATCATGACTTTACCTTCTAGAAAAGCATAAACAAGTAAAGTATGTAGTGTTGTGCACTTGAAATATTCAAAGTCGTTTCTTGGCTTGGTGCTTACTGGATGGTGATAGAACCTTTTAGAGGTAGGGCCCAGTAGACTTTAGGGCACTAGGGCTAGGCTCTCAAAAGGATTCTAAGGCAGGGTGATGGTGCATGCCTATAATTATAGAGGCTCAGGAGGCTGAGGCAGGAGGATCAAGGCCAATCTCAGCAACTTGAACCTGTCTCAAAACTTAAAAGGGCAGGAAATGTAGCTCAGCGGTAAGGTTCCCATACCAAAAAAAAAAAAAAAAAAATTAAGTTTTTTTGAGGGGGGTGAGAGTGGGAGTGAGTAAAGGGTTTGGGATTGGGCACAGGGCCTTACATTTTAGGCAACTACCCAACCCCCCACCTTTTCCCACAATACCTTTATTTTTTTGTGTGGTTCTGAGGATTGCACCTAGTGCCTCACACAGGCAAGGCAAGCACTCTGGTGCTGAGCCACAACCCCAGGCCCTCCAATCATCCCTTTTTAACATTGTTTTGAGACAGGGTTTCGGTTATCCAGCCTTAAATTCGCAATCTTCCTTCTTCATCCTAAGTAGCTAAAAGCTAGGATTACAGCTGTGTAGTACCACTGCCCAGTTCCAACTGTTTTTCACATAAAATAATTTATACTTATTATTGAGACATAAAGAAAAGCATAGAAATGTTCTATGGCTGAGGATATGTCAGTGTGATAGTGCTTGACTAATATGCAAGGCCCTGGATTTGATCGCTAGTACCACATGAACACACATGGATCAAGCATAAATAAAACCATAGACAAAATTCTGCTGTATTATAGTTACTTGATAATTCAGAGACCTGGCTGCAAAGGATCCTCAGGTTTCTTCTGTAATTCATTATTAGTTCTGAAGGAAGTCAAGGGTCTGAAGTTATTTGTGAAATCCTAAACTTGAACATGAAGGGAGAATGAACCCTCTTGGGTAATCATTGTGTCCTTTAATTTTGTTTCATGTGTAGTAAGAGAAGGAGGGCCTAAGTCCCAATTTTTACAATCCGTAAAAATGAAAATAAAGCTAAGTATTTCCAAAGACTCAAGGAAATAGCCAAGAAGAGAAATATTCATTCTTTAAAGTGACAAAGGTAGGAAGAAAAACAGTGCTAATAACAAACTCTAGATTCATGTGAATTTCATTTAGCAGTTTATTCTGAATAAATCACTTTATAATTACTGGAAAATGTTACTTTACTTAGCTATGTAATTAACAAATCAAATTATCGAAACAAAATGTCAATACAAAAAACTTAAGAAATTTACAAAGCTGTACAAAATAATTTAATAAACTAGACTGATACAGTCTATAAGATCTCTTTGAGAGAGAGATAAATTCATGTACTTTTTTTAAGTGAGTAAAAGAATGGGTGTTTTAAGGCTTCTTTGAGAGTAATTCTTTTGGCTGGATCATACTCCAACATTTTATGAATAAGGTCAAAGAGAAGCTCATGTTCAGCATCCTGAGAGAGCATGAATTCCTGAAAGGAAAAGAAAAATATATTCAACAGCCTTTTCCACTACCATTTATTTCATTTTTCCACCAAGAACCGGAGAGTGGAACACAAGGCCCTGGATATTCAGTACTAGCATCAAAATAAATCTGTAACAAAAAGGAGGGGGAACGTCAACTTTTGGATCATTTAAGCAACATCCCAAACTTACCTTCAGAGGTTTGCAGCGCCTTGAAACGTATCTGCCAGCAGAACTATGTTCATCCCAGTCTAATCGGTCATGATGGAAATATTTACGTTTCCTAAAAACGAGTCAAGATCAATTTATTATTTATGTTGATATTGAAACTTTAAAAAACATCTAGCAAAGGTGATTGGTTCTACCATTTACTACACTTTAGAAAGATTAATGCTTTTAAGAGATTTAAAATGTAGCTAAGGTACAGCGTTATCCACTCCCCACGAAAGTCATCTATTACTTAACTGAAAATGCATTAGTGTGATTCGTTTACTAAAGTTCTCATCCAAACAATTAACCAAGTTAAGTTATAAAAAGGATGGCACTCCTTTTTTTTTTTTAGGTACTGGGGAACTCATGGCCTTGTGCATACAAGATAAACACCTACCAACTGAGCTATATCCTCAGCCCCACAACCTCTTAATTAACTAAAACATACCTGGTTTTCTGTATCATATGTTTTGGTAGGGGTCCAAGAATCCTTTCCATCATTGCCAAGTGCTCCTTACTATCATGTGTCTTTAAAACAAAACAAAATATTGTTAACTATCTTTGCTTACACATTGTGCACTATTCTCATTTAACATCAGTGTTAATTTTCTAAGTCAGGACATGAGTAGAAGGTTCAACAAAGATGAGCACCTAAAAATACTTTTCAGTGACTACATGGTGTGTTTTGTGTGTGTGTGTGTGTGTGTGTGTGTGAAAAACAACCTTGAATAACCACTTCCAATAGCTTGGCAATGACTTCCTCAAATGGACAGGGATAATCACTTATAAGAAGATGATATAAATCACAAAATTATATATAAACCTTAAATTATTCTTATAAATAGGCACTCTTCTAGTGTAAAACTGCTGAAAAATCATTATAACTTACTGGAAATACTGTAAACCCAAGATAGTATTCAATAAGAATACATCCTATACTCCAGACATCACACGGTTGGGACCATCCTAGGGCTGCAAAACAAAGCACAATGTTAGGGGAGAAAAAACCTATTTCTTAAAGACATTAAAAGTCAATTAATGAAGAATTGGTGTAAAATACAATGTATACAATGAGAAATATGAAAAATTGTGCTCTAATTGTGTAATAAGAATTATAATGGGGCTGGAGATTTGGCTCAAGCGGTAGCGCGCTCGCCTGGCATGCCTGCGGCCCAGGTTCGTTCCTCAGCACCACATACAAAGATGTTGTGTCTGCCAAGAACTGAAAAATAAATATTAAAATTCTCTCTCTCTCTCTCTCTCAAAAAAGAAAGAAAAAAATAGAATTATAATGCATTCTACTATCATATATGCAATATAAAAAGTATTATTGGGAATTAAAATTTGCCTTCCTGTTTTTTTTGAGAAATATATAAAGGACTTCCATTATTCTGGGGGAAAAAAAGGTCAATTAATAACTGGGCATGGTGGCACATGCCTGTAATCCCATTGCTGAAATGGGAGAATCACAATTTCAAAGCCAGCTTCAGCAATGGCGAGGTGCTAAGCAACTCAGTGAGACCCCATCTCTAAACATAAAATAGGGCTGGGGATGTGGCTCAGTAGTCGAATGCCCAGGTTCAGTCCCTGGTACCCAGTACCCCCACCCAAAAAAGTTATTAACAAGTTCAATACTCTCTTGAAAAAGAACACATACTGTGAACTAGAAGGAATCATCTAATATAAGGTTGGGCTTTGGAGACACCTGGGTTCAAGTCAAGTGTTTTAACTTTGGGACCATTAAATTTATCAAATTTTTTTCTGGGCCTCAACGCCCTAACCTGTACAACAGGAGCTAACTGGACCACGCAAAGAGACTAAACATACTGATTCTCTGGGATATAATGTGCAGTAAAGAAACACATTTTTTAAAATTAATTTTTAAAGAAACACACTTTTAAACCCTACCACATAGTCCATGCACTGAATGATGATTCTGGTCAACAGTAAGCTGCAAAGATACTGGATTATAATGAAGATGGAAAATTCCTACCACTTAATAACGTACCTGTTCTAACATCAAGGCACAACTTGCATTGCTCAAGTGTTATATAATTCTGGTGGAAACATTCATGTGCTGGCAGCTTTTTAAAAGTGTAGCAAATTTATGATTCAATACTTGGCAATGTTAACAACTATGTTACTGATTTATGTGTTTAGCAACACCACAAAAACACATATTTGCTGTAAAGCAGTATGCAGTGTTTTGCTGACAGTAGCCTCATACACTTCCTGTTTACTAAATCTCTTGATTGCATCATATTTTTTGTGCTTGATAATATACAGTTTAGGTGTGTAGAGTTCACCAACACATTTCTCAGAACATATTCTCATCATTTAGCAACACATGAATTCACTACAAATGTGTAACCAATTCCAAAAGAGTTAAGCTACTTGTGCAAGTCTGAGAGCTACTGAGTCACAGAGCTTAAAATCCTTAGTGTATTTTGTAATACTGATTCTTTAAAAAAAAAAAAAAAAAAAAAAAAAGATTTTTTTTGAAAGTTCTATATTGGGGCTGGGGATGTGGCTCAAGCGGTAGCACGCTCGCCTGGCATGCGTGCGGCCCAGGTTTGATCCTCAGCACCACATACAAAGATGTTGTGTCCGCTGAGAACTAAAAAATAAATATTAAAAAATTCTCTCTCTCTTAAAAAAAAGAAAGTTCTATATTGAATAAGACCTAAAACTGAATTTTTACAACAGCTTCAAAATATACACGTTTTCAGAGCATAATTAACAAGTACTAACCTAAAATAACTTCAGGTGCTCTATAATGTCTTGTAGATACCAATGTACTGTGATGTTCATCATCATAGGTTGCACTGCCAAAATCTACAACTTTAATATCTGGATTTATTAAGGTACGTTCATCACGTTTCTGAAAATCATAAAAATGATAGTTATGAAGACAAAATAAAAAACAAAAAAAAATTCACCCTAAACTATGAAGATTATACATTGAAAACTTACCATTTTGGGATTATATACCTCTGTGTAGTCAGACTGCACAAATAAGATGTTTTCAGGCTTTAAATCTGTGTGAGTCAATTTATTGCTGTGCAAAACTGAAATGAAACAAAGTTTTACTGTAACCTGATAATAAAATGAAAAAAAAAAAAAAACCTTGACCTCCCCAACTCTATAGTAAAAATCAGATGCATTTCCCACATACTCAAATAATCAATCAGTAAAATTTTAATCAGCTAGAAAAATTACCAGACTCTAAAAGGTACTACCCTTCTTAAAAAGTACCAACAGCACAAGGTTAATATTTTTAGGAAACAGTTAAATCAGTGTTCAATATAAACTATGTTAGATAATATCATATGTCAAATTAAACACATGCTATAGACTAACATAATCAAGTAAATCTTTACTACCTACCTACCCAATTTGCCCTCTCCTATTTGATAGGATCTCATCTTACCCAAGCTGCCCCAAACTCCTGGACTCAAGCTGACCTCCTGCCTCTCTATCTCCCTACTTTACCCAGCTCTCCTTTTATTTTTAATTGACAAAAAACTGTACATGTTTAGGTCTCGTTTTTTAAAAATCCAGACCAGTCTGGCATTGGTTTCAAACTCACAGCTTTTGGAAGACAGGTCAAGAACTTACAATTCACAGACTTGCATATCTGATATGCCATCTTCCTGATATGATCCAGTCGAAATGGCAGAAAACCATTTTCCTTAATGAAATCATAAGTACTAAGTCCCAGTAGTTCAAACACAATGCAAATGTGACCATGATGCTCAAACCACTCCAACATCTGGACACAGCGGCTGTAACATATGAAAAAACGCCTGAGTATACCTTGCAGTTCAAATCTGCCTTAGGCCATTTTCCAAGTTTTACTTTACTACTTACAAAGTACTGTTGGGGTCTGTTGTATTTAAGTGTTCCAGAACTTGAATTTCTGAGCGAGCAGCTTCACAATATCTATCCACATTTTTAACTATTTTTACTGCTACATGTCTACCTCCCCTGTTAAGAGAAAATAAATCTAAGTTAAAAAATGATAGACATGCTTCAAACCTCAAAGGGCACCAAAAAGGAAATAATAAAAGATACATGTGATGTTCAATTTCAGTTTTCTATTATTCTCTTTTAACTAGTTTTAATCTGACCTATTAAATTTTATTTTCTTGAACCTGTTGTTTAAGTACTCTATGATATGATTCAATATAAGCAACTATGGTCTTTGAACATAGTAGAATTAGTAATGCCAGTACATACTAAATGACACAAACTTCTTTCACGAGATCACCATTCAGGACCAACTAACAATAAGAAAAGCTCTAATTTAACAAGTAAGCGGTGATAATGCCACCTTAACTTGCATTCCAACTAAGACTCAAAACAAAAGTATATAAAGCAGTTTCTTCCTAAAGAAACTCACTCCAGTCTGTCAAATTTTGATTTGGCTAGGTTATCAATAAGTTAGGATAAGGTGGCATAGCAAAGAATGCTAGGTCTCAGAACATTATCAAGTCTCCTTAAACTCAAAAGCTCTGCCATTTAGAAGGGGGAAAATAAACCAAATAGGAAAAAGAAAAGCCAAAAGGAGGAGGAGGGGGAATATCACTGAGATGCTGGAAACTGAGCTCAGGCCTTGTGCATGCTAGGCAGGCACTCTACCATTAAGTTACAATCCAGATGCCAAGAAAATAAATTTTAATCAGCAGTTTGAAGGACATACATATAATAATTAAATAATTATGATCCTAATACAGAAGAGTTATCAGCTCAGTCCTGGCTGTTATCATAATGAATCATGGCACTTTCTAAAAATGGAGGCTCCTAGTAAACCAAATACCTTGAAAAGATTTGAGACAAAAAAAGCTCCAAAATTCTAATGTAAAACCAAGGCTGAGAAACACTACTATAAAAAGAGAAAAGGAGCAAGGAGGGGGAGCCATAACTATGCCTGGTAGGACAAATACACGAACACTTTTCAAAAACAAACTATGATCTCAGCCTGAACTGGAACCAAAAGCTGCATATATCCTTTTTTATTTTTAGTTGTTGATGGACCTTTATTTTATTCCTTTATATATGGTGATGAGAATCAAACCCAGTGCCTCACACATGTAAGGCAAGTGCTCTACCACTGAGCCACAACCCCAGCTCTGCATATACCCTTTTTTTTTCTGGTGCTGAGGACTAAATCTAGGAACGATACGCCAGCCCAGAAGCTGGATATAATACTAGCTACTTAAATACAACATAAATACAGTATCTTTAGAAGTTTCTCATAAACAAGCCAAGATACCCCAGCCCAAACAGCTTAATGATATAAAGTACTTTTCTATACTGGCAAGATTCTCCAGTATAATCCCAGCAAAGGAAACTTACGCTTTATGATCGATACATTCCACAACTTTTCCAAAAGCCCCTTCACCTAAAGTATCAACAATTTCATCTAGGAGAGAGAAATGAATCTCAGTTACACCAAAAAGTGGAAACAAAGTACTTATCATAATAAATGCTATCAATGAAGATTATTCTAGTTCATGTTACTAATTTCCTTATTGCTAGATATTTATTTTATTGGTCAACACCACCAAAAAAATACAACTAGTTTTAGGTCTAATTTCATTGTTAGGCTAACTTCATTAACTTGATTTACTGCTCTGGAAGTTCTGCATAACATTAACTTTCTAAAGAAAGCAAAAACACAATCCCCCCCCACCAAAAGAAATGGAAAAACAAAATAAAAACAAGAAAATAGAGAAAGAAAAAAAAAAGATCTCCAAATCCCTGAAATCTTAATCTATATAGATTATGCTATCTGAAAAGTTAATAAGTGTTGAAAAATATTCTATACATCTTGCACTTAGTACGTCTCCACTCTGACAGATCAGGTGACCCTCCTCATCATCCTCTACACTCCTGGTTCTTTTCCTTCGGTGACTCTTCTGGAAACGTCAAGTGGGCGGCACCAAGATCATCCAGCCAATCAATATACCCGAGTGAATTCAGGGCAGAATACGAAATTCATTCAGCGGGGAGATATTCAGGCATTCAGATACACGCCAGGCCACAAACGGTTGGCAGGAGCAATTTCAAATTCAGTCCCCAGAAATTCACAGGGCACATAGTTTATGTTAACAGGAGAAAAACATGGCAAGGAACAGATTTTCAGATAAGATACTCAAAGTGGTAAGGCAACAAAACATAAATACAATTGTTTTTCTTTAAAAAAAAAAAAAAAAATGCTTAGTTGTAGCATTTACTGAAACACTGAAACATAATTTTAAGTTTCTAGTGTCCTAATTTAATGTTCCAAAATTGTAGGATGTAATATTTACTTGTTAAAGTAGACTGTGGCCAAATTAAGATTTCCTAGCTAATCTAATAAAACAAATATCAGAACAGTAAATAAAACCAAAGTCCTAGTTTTGGGAAGAAAAAAGAATTGGTATACAAGGATAACACTACAGTATTTTAAATGTCATCTGAGCTATCACCAAATTAATACATAACCCATAAAATTCAAATCTTTTATAGTTTGTTTAATGAAAGATTACAGAACATGCTTTGTTAGGACAAAAAAGTACATCTAATTATCAATCATACAAAAATGTCTATTTTTTTGTGATGTTTGAACTTATCAAGTCAAAGCAGAATTCTTGAAGTACTATAAAAAACCTTTCAGAATGTCTTGTTATTGCTTTTATGTTACCTTCACTATTTTCATTGAAATGACAATTAGAAGCCAACTAGTAAGTAAAATCTATTACAGAATTAAACATATTGCTTTTCTGGAATTTTATCCAATGTACAAATAGAAATAATCCTCCAAGTTAAAGCTGAGATGGCTTTATCTTAAACAGAATTTTCTCAAACACAAATTCAAGTTTTCCTGTTCCACATGGGAAATAAAATTTCCAAATGTTTTAAAACAGCTCATACCCCATGTGAGCGATGATGTGAAGTACTGTGCTGAATCCTGTGTTTACTTTTATAACTACTTCTTCCACTTCTACCAGAAGACTTGCTACTATGGTTCTGATATCTGCTTTCATGATCTCGATGGCGATGTCCAAGTTCACATCCTTGACTGTAGTCATTTCTGTACTCATCAATATAGCGTCGGCTATGATAATCTTTCTCATTTATAGATCTGCTTTCCATGTAATAGCTAGAAAAAAAATATATTTTCTATTTTCTGCCAATACTAACCTTTGTTGAACTCGACCACTAGTTACAGCCCCAGACCTACATTTACCTCCCCCTCCAAACACGCAACTTTACACATTAGAAGCCATCAAAAATCTCACTGGAAGCAGGAATGGTAACCACAAAATAACACTAGTTTTATCACCATAAAAATGTAGTTTTTATATTCAGACACCCTTCTTACCTATCAGATGTTTTAGAGTGATTGTATTTGCAATGTTTGTTCTCTCGACCACTGCTATATGATCTCTTCTTTCTCTTATGACTGCTACTGCTTCTCCATTTTCCATAATCCCAGTCCTTTTCATCCCAGTCAGGACAGTAAGGTCTCTTCGAGTGTCTCATCTACATAAAAGACAAAATCATCCCAGTTAGATTGTATCTAACACTGTAACTTTTTTTAAAAGAATATTTTTGGTTGTAATGGACACAGTGTATTTTATTTATTTATGTGGTGTTTGTTGAGAATGGAACCCAGGGCCTCAAACATGCTAGGCAAGCGCTATTACTGAGTCACAACCCCAGTCCTAACATCGTAACTTTTAACAGTATATAACTCTTTACAAATTCACTGTTACAACCTTTTAATCAGAAATTGCTAATAAATTATTGCACTGTCCCATATTTTGAAGTTTGTGAACTTTACTCACAAGCATTCTGCATTGTCCATGTCATGCCCAGATTTATTTAAAGTTTGTGTATGGGAGGAGGCGTAGTAAGGGAATTTGAGGAACCCCAATTTAACTTTGCTAAAATTTTACTCGTTGTCTCCAGTACAAGTACACATGCAAGCCAAGTGCGGTGGCCCGTTTGAGCCCCCGCCAAAGTGTCTGAACACATACACACACACAAAAACCACATGTGTACATACACATAGTAACAGAAACATGTACATATAAACACGTTTGCACATAAATACACAAACTGTGCATTCTATGCTCTTTCCTCCCTCGGGCTCCTAGTTCGGTTTCTCGGGCACCACTAAGGGTAGAGCGCCTTCTAAACTCGTACTGCCTTATTCCACAAGGAGTCAACTATTTTTTTCCCTCCATTTGCTATGGACACTTCCGCCCACAGCGGGGCGACCTAGGAACATTCCAGAATCTCAAGCGGCACCTCCCAGGGACAGTGCTAGGCCTGGCCTCCACCCCGCCGCCATCTTAGGACTCGGGCATAGGCACCGCAGGCCTGAGCTCGGCGGGCCGCCGCCCTACCGAGCGGACCCTGACAGGGCGCGCGGCAGGCAAACACCATCGCTACTCCCCGCAAACAGAAACTGGCAGCAAAGGGCTCGGTAGAGGGTACGAGCGCGCTGCCTTTATGGAGCTCTGGGGTGCGGGTATAGGAGGCAGCGAGCCGGAGAACCGGCAAACAAAAAGAGGGCAGCCCCCGACATAGAAGGAGGACGCCTAGTACACTCCCTCCACCGCCTCGGGTCTTACTGTTCTGCTGGAGACTCTAAGCCGAAGGAGACGAAGCTTGCAACAAGACCTCCGGAAGACACAGCTGATTGCGACGGGCACCGACCACAAAATGGAGCTGACAATCCCAGCGGCAGCCCTTGACCCAAAAACACCGATGACGTGGCAAAGGCGTCGTGGCCGCGGAGCAGGGCACGCATGCGCGAAAGGCGGGGCACGCGCGCGGCACTATGCGCAGGCGCCAGGTGGTCCCTCGGATTCCAAGGAAAGGGGGTTAGAACCGGAGAGAAATCCAGTCCAAGCTCATTAAACACTGGGTTTTTGAACGCTAGTAAAGTGAGGGAAGCTGGATACAAAATAGCTCTGTTCCTTAACTGCAGCCATTAAAAGAACGCTTTACCACCAGCGTCAAATTAGCTCTGAATTAGTAATTGGCTTGGTTTGGGCTTTTGCTAAGATTCTAAGACCTGTTTAAAATAGGTTTCCTTAGTTGGGTCCCAGCATCGCAAACAACAGTTTTTAGTGGCTAGGCATCGCACGCACTGAAATTGGGTTGGAACGATTTTCCTAAAAATTTAAAAGAAAGAATTGAGTGAGCAAGATCTTGTAGGAAAAGACTATAAACATTCAAGCATTTCAGCGTTACACCAGGCTTCTGTATTGTTAAAGACCAAGTGAACTGAAAAAAGGTATAAAAGAAAAATTATGAGAAAATATGAAGTGTAATTGGTGTCACTTTTAGGAATATTTAAAAACCCAGTCAAGGTGACCAAGCTGTAGGTGTGTAGCAGTTGCTGCTCAGCTACTGCAATTTATTGTTAAAATGGATGTTTCTCTTCCTGCTTCTCCCTAATCTCTTATCTCCTCTCTAACCTCAAAGGGAAAGGGGATTACCTTTCATCCCCACCCCGGGCTGTTTTTTTGTTCTAGAGCACAAACACCCCCCCCCCCCCCCCCCCCCCGCCATAGGAAGGAAGTAATTCAGACTTTGGCATGGCACTTGAAGACCTCAGAAATTATTATCTCCTAAATTAATAAGTGAATTACAACTCCTAAAGGGAAATACCTGGAATGTACCCTTTGAATCACCTGTTTAAAAAGCCTCCTGTCCCAGATGATGGACAGAATTACAGTCTCTGGGACAGGAGTCCCTGCTTCTCCTTTGCTAGCAAAGTGATAAAACTTCTTTTTCATTTTTCTCAAAACCATGGCCTCATTATTGGATTGACATCTGGTACAAGGACCAAGCTTTTAATAACGGAATGTGGTTCTTGACAAAATCAACAGAGCCTGGTAAATGGCTTGAATAGGTAAAAGCCCTATGGTATACCTGAATGTTAGTTAGGAAAGCAGTTACCTGGTACAAACACTTAGTACCTGCCAAGAGCTTTACACCAATTATTTCACTTAATTCTCACAATGGTCTCAGGAAATATAACTTGTGGATGAGAAAACTAAACTAAATAAACCTGGAGATGTTAACTTGTCTACAAGCACACAGTACTAGGACCAGCTATGTTGCAAACCCAGACCAGGACTCATGACTGGTGCTTTTAACCAGTTCGTGGCATTTTTCAATGTTTTTAAAGATCCGCTTTTAAAAAATGTCCCAGGAGCAAATCAGTTGAAAAATGTTGAGCTTACTGTATTCTATGTGAAGGACATGGAAAATAAACTCCAGGACACTTCCCCTTTCTACAGCTGTTCCCCCACCTGCCTTCCTGCCATGTGTGTAGGGAGATGTCTGTGGGAGCTTTTGACATTCAGAAACCCAGACCTCTGCTGAAAGGAAGGCAGGAAGGGAAAATGGGAAAAAGGAAAGGGCACCTGACCCCAATCAGACAGAACTGGCTGTCTCCAGTACAATAGCCCCAGGGAACTTCCCTACCAGTCCTCCTGTCCCACCCTAAATGAGCCCATCAAAAGTAATTGACCAACTCATCCCAGGGCCAGGCTCTGCTAAACCCTGTAAAACTCAGACCCTTGTTGTAGTCTGTCACCATTTTCTCTCCTGAAAATGTGCCCCTCGGCTGCTTAATAAAAAGCATTGCTGATCCCCATTTTGGTTATTTTTGCTTCCACCAAGAGCTTTCCTGTAAATCTAACGGCCAGAGAAAAATAGCAAATAGATTGGCTTGTCTTTCTAGACCATCTCTTTACCTTGTTCCTCTCTTTCTAACAACGTAAAGTAAAAAGTTCATGGAAGACAATATTTGTAGGTTATGGATTAATTACGGTACTAGTTTGTACTTAGGGTGTTCAAAAATGGTTGCATTTAATATAAGCTCAACATTTAAATTGAATATCTACATGGAATAAAAAATTAAACAAGGCAATATTTTATATTAAATTTAAAAAATATATTGGATAATAGTAGAAAAGAATATGCTCCAAGAATAGGGGTAAAAGCTGTTGGGTTCCCCCTTGGTACCAAAGGCTCATAGATGATCTTTGCTATAAGCCAACAGAATGACAAAATCTCTGACATAATTAAAAGTGGGCAAACCACAATGCGTATGTTTCAGCAATTTGCCAAGTATTTGTCCAGGTCTATTAGAGTTACTGAGCAAATGGGTTGGCATGAATAGTTATATCCTTAATGTGCACATCGTTAAGAGGCCGATATGTCTTCTCATTTACTGGTAACTTCTCCAATTCATCTAGGGTCTCCAGACCATCTATTACCCTGAAACAGAAATAATGTAATATATGAAAATTTCCTCAAATTGAAACATAATATTCAAATATCTGTAGCACTATAATCTCCTTAAGAGGAAAGGATCATGTTTTATAGTTCTCTGAATTCTCTAGTTGAATGTACAAAAAAATATTGATTATTTTTATGCTATACATATGGATTAAAATTCAGAAATAAAAATTCATTTTATGCCTCAGTCAACAAGAGAAATGGGTAGGAATATTCTGATCAGAGTGCCTAAAATCATCTGCTGCATTAGTAGCAATCACATAGAATATCAGCCAATGGTGCCAGTATAAACAGTTAAAGGGATAACAAATTTACTCTCCCAACATTTAATACCAAATGTGTTGGTTTTCCCAATCCTCCACTTCCCTGGGTGCCCCTTAATTTAATTCTGACATTTCATGGTTAGTGCAGGCCTCACAGCTTAGTCCCAAAGACTGTCCTGCCACATTAGATGCCAGATTAAAGTCCCAGGTGGCAATCTGTACTTCTGACTAACCAGCTACAAGTTAGATGTTCCCTTGGCCACTCCTTGGGGTTGGTAATTCGCTAGAATGGTTCACAGAACTCAGGAGAATGCTTTACATACTATTACAGTTTATTATAAAGGATATGACTCAGGAACATCAAATGGAAGAAATTCAAAATGCAAGGTATGAGGGAGGGGCAGAGCTTCCATGCTCTCCCTCCAGGCCCTCTTCCCAGCACAGGCACGCGTCCACCAACCTGGAGGCTCTCTGAACCCCATTTAGGGTTTGTTTTGTTTTGGGGTATTGGGGAATTGAACCCAGTGGCACTCTAGTTGTAAGCTACATCCCCAGTCTTGCTCACTTTTCAGACAGGGTCTTAAGTAAGTTTCCCAGGCTGGGCTCTTGTTTGTGACTGTCAACCTCAGACTCCTTAGTAGGTGGAATTACAGGCTGCTCCCCATACCTGACTCATTTAGCATTTTTGTTTTGTTTTGTTTTTTAGTACTGGGGACTTACCCAGGAGCACTTTGCCTCTGTTTTAGTCTACTTTTTTGCTGCTGTGACTGAATGACCCAACCAGCACAATTGTAGAGGAGAAAAGTTTTATTCAGAGGCTCACAGTTTCAGAGGTCTCCATCCATAGACAGTAGGCTCCATTCCTTGGGGCTGGAGGTGAGGCTGAACATTACAGTAGAATGTGTGGCAGAAGGAAGCAGCTCACACTGGCCAGATACAAATATATATATATATATATATATATATATATATATATATATATATCTATATCTATATATATATATATATATCCCATAACCATACCTCCCCAATGAACCACTTCCTTCAGCCACAGTTACCACTCAGTTAATCCCAACAGGGATTAATTCACAGATTAGGTTAAAGCTATAACCCAATCATTTCTCCTCCAAGCCTTCTTGCATTGTCTCACACATGAGCTTCACGGGAGGGACACCACATCTAAACCATAACAACCACTGAGCTATACTCCTAGCCCTTTTTATTTTGAGACAGGATCTTGCTAAATTGCTAAGGGCCTAAACTTGTGATCCTCCTAACTCAGCCTCTCAAATTGCTGAGATTATAGACATTTAGGGGTTTTATGAAGGTTCCGTTACATAGGCATGATGGATTTTAAATCATTGGTCATTGGTGACTGAACTCAATTTCCCATCCTCTCTCCTTCCTGGAAGTTCAGGGTGGAGGAATAATAAGGGGGTTAGGATTTAAAGTGCTAACTCTAATCACATGGCTGGTTCCTCAGGCAACCAGTTCTCATCCAGAAACTCTCTACAGGCCAACCAGGCATCACTTCATGGTATAAACTCAAGTATGATTGAAAGGAGTTTATTATAAATAACAAAATATTTGTTTCATTCCTATCACTCAGGAAATTCCAAGGGTTTTAGCTCTGATACAGGAACAAAGGATGAAGACCAAATATGTTTTTCTCATTACATCACAATATTATACCAGTCATAGGGATTTCTTTGCATATAGGAAATATACATAGAAAGTATATAAGGACTGTCCTACATTAAGGGTCCTACATGCATGACCACTTTGCATTTTATTGTTTAAATTTTGTGTTTCTCCTTTTGTTTCTAGACAAGAAAGCAAGATTGACAGTTAAGCTCCACCAAGCCCACTTCATATTTCCACCAAAAAACAAAAAACAAAACAAAACAAAAAAAACAACAACTCAGATTTATATTGAAATACCTGTTTTGGAAATCTGAGTATTTGCTGATATAAAGTGGCTTTTTAAAATTATTCCTCTTTGTGCAATTCAATTCAATTCCCAAGATTTACATATGTACTTATAAAAAATAACTGATTTACATTTCCACTAAAATGGTACTTTAAAAAAGAATATAGGAAAGAATGCCTGAAAGTGGCTTCAGTGACAATAACTACTATTACCGAAACCTTTTGACCTTACTCCTAAATGTAAAACAATTATGTTCTTAAACTATCATCTGGGCTAAAAGAAAAACAGGAAACAGAGGAAATAATGAGGTCTGGCAACAAAAGGGCAGGTAGGCTGAGAGTGGTGGCATAGGCCTATAATCCCAGCTACCTGGAGGCTGAGGCAGAAGAACTGTAAGTTCCAGGTCAGCCTAGGCACTTAATGAGACCTTGTCTCAAAAAATAATAAGGGCTGGGGATACAGCTCAGTGGTACAGTGCCCCTGTGTTCAATCCCCAGTTACCCCCCACCCCCAACACACGAAACACAGATTTGAAGCAGATGAAGTCTAATAAAGTATCTAGGACATGGGGCCCTTAGAGAACCAGAGGAAGGCTATGGATCATTTTCCCAGAAAAATGTATATGAAAATCCAGCTGTAAGAAGTTAATGAACCTAAGGTTACACTTCATTGTTTCATTTCAAATCCAGTAAGATAAATACTGGTAATTCCTGATGAATAATTCTGAATGACCAGTTAGGGAGAAAATGAAGAAAACCTACATTACCTATATACATATACAAAGATAACTGGATGCTCTAATATTTCATTAAGTTGATTGACTATTAACAAAGTATAAATTAGCCAGATGCAGTGACACACGCTGTAATCTCAGTGATCTGGGAGCCTGAGGCCAGGAGGATGACAAGTTCAATTTTAGTAAGACCCTAAGTAACTTAATAAAAATAAAAAGGACTGGGGATGCAGCTCAGTGGCAAGCAGTCTGGGTTCAATCCCCAGTACCAAAAAAAAAAAAAAAAAAAGAAGATATAAATTAGATTTAATTATATGGAATTTTTTTAAAAAGCTGTAGTCCTGTATTTTTATTTAACGTAACTTAGCATATAAACCGATAAATATAACAGATTATAGGATTATGCCTTGGATTATTGAGCTTGGTAAATATTTTTTGAGGGCTGGGGCTGTAATTCAATGGCAGAGTACTTGCCTAGCATGTGTGAGGCACTGGGTTCGATTCTCAGCACCAAAAAATAAAATAAAATACAGACATTCTGTCCATCTACAACTACAAAAAAGTTAAAAAAAATTTTGTTGAATGAATTTAAGTCATATATAATTTAAGAATTTAATTTATATAAAAGAAACTCTTGGAAATGTGGTAGAAACTGCTAAATACACTCCCAGGATCTATTTTCCCTTCTTATTCTGAGAAACCTATTTTACTGAGGTTTCTCTGTGTCCTATCTCTCCCTTATAGGTAAAGTATGGCCACATTACAAGTTCTGGTCTCCCTGGAAAGTTCTTTAAGAAGAAGCTGACTCTGCTGGCAAGAATCCTTTGTCTTTTTATCACAAAGTGATCTTGAAATGAAAGCTAGAGATGGTGAAAAAACAAGAGGCACCTCAAAAATTGGTGGCAAAGTAGAACCATCAAATCAGTCCACCATTTTTAAGCAAATATTTTCAGATCTGTTGCGGCTAAATGCTATTTTTTTATTTTTTAGTACTAGGGATTGAACCCAGGGGCGCTTAACCAATGAGCCACATCCTCAGCCCTTTTTTTTTTTTAGACACAGGGTCTCACTAAGTTGCTTACTGCCTTGCTAAATCGTCGAGGCTGGCTTTGAACTCATGATCCCCCTGACTCAGCCTCCGGAGCCATTGAGATTATAGGCATGTGCCAACAAATGCTATTTTTAATGAAAAGGGATATATTACTATTCATTTACATAACAATCCTGAAAAAAATTACCGATACCTCTTTTATAAAAAAAGGATAACAAGTCTAGAGAAGTTATAACTTTCTTTCCACTTGGCTCTTTCCAATATTAGTTATACTACTCTCACAGTCATGTTTATGCACTGAGATATCAAATTAAAACATAATGAGGGCTGGGGTTGTGGCTCAGTGGTAGAATGCTTGCATAGCATATGAGGCATCACATAAAAATAAATAAATAAAATAAAGATATTGTGTCCATCTACGACTAAAAAAAAATGTTTAAAAGAAACATAATGAGAATACTTACTTTCCAAATACTGTATATTTCATGTCTAAATGTGGCTGCTTGCCATAGGTGATAAAAAACTGAGATCCATTGGTATTTGGGCCATTATTAGCCATAGATACAACACCTCTAACGTTGTGCTGAAAAAAAGAACAAAGCATTAATCTGTGTTTTTAACTATTCCAAATATAAAACTGAAATAAGACATGCACAAACCTTCCAATGTTTAACAAACCAAGAAAACATTAAATAGCTCTATTAGGTTAATCCAAATGTTCAGTTTCTATATATCTGTATCACTATAAAGCCTGTATAAATTATATAACAAATCAAATTCTCAATAATTTCATTTTCACTTTGGAGAATATAGCCACAAACACTTTTAGCAATGATAGAAATAATCCTTACATTTATATTAAGGAATACTGTGCTGGTATGAAACAATCAGGCAACAAAACAAATTCCCCATAATCTCTTCTCATATACAGGACTCTTGCTAGTTTCTTTATCTGCAAAACAAGGGAAGTTGGACTAGTTCAGGGGTCTATTCAGAATTCAGATGCTCACAAGGATGAAGTAGATAGTAAACTGAATGTAAACATTAGGGAAAGATGGAGTCTTATAGTGAATAGTTTCTCTCACTTTATGGCATTAAAACAATTTATTTTATACTGATGGCCATAGGGAATGTTATCTATGGTTCTTTTACCCATGGACAGCTATAACCCTAAGACTGGATGATCTAAAGAAGATTCATTTAGCACTAATATCATGACACTATTTGTTTACAAGGGAGTATGTGCAGGAGTTAAAAGGACCTTATTGATAAAGCTGAAGACATGACCGAGCTATGCTATAGGGAGGTGCCCCCAAATAAAATACACTACAAGTAACTCCACTGATTAGTGTTAACAACTCATAGGTATATAGACAAGCTATATAGGTGTAGTTACATCAATATAATAATGCTTTATCTCCCTAAAAGGTGACTACCAAATATATTACTAGATCCATAAACAAGAATACATGTACCATCGAAGAATTAATTTTAATAAAAGCATCTATTAATTTTTTTTCCCAGCTTGAAGAGTAACATTTACCAAACTGTTGCAGATGATTATGTGCTCTGCTCCATCTATTGATCTGCCTCCCTGGGAGGTAACCATTATTCTAATAGGTTTACACAGGCCCAGACTATGTTTTGTTTCCTTTGGCTACTTTCTAAACTCCACAAAACTGTATACAACTTTAATCTTTTCGAAAATGCTTTTACATTTAGCACTGCTATGTTTCTAAGATTCATACATGTGTACACACTTGTAGTTCATTGATGTTTTTTCCTACTGTAGTGTGATATTTCACTAGTGAATAGACTAAACTGTACCCATTTTATTACCAATGGACATGTGGCTTTTTTCCAGACTTTTTATAAACAGTGTGCCAGGAGCACTCCTGTTGTCCCTTGGTGCACATGTACAAGAGTTTTTCTTGGGTAAGCATTTGGGAATGGACTTGCTGGAAGAGAATATATGCAAATTTAATCCCCATCCTCTATCCTGGTGTATAACATATTGGTTTTTAACCTGCCTACAATGGAATCACTGGGGAACCTGAAAATAAAGCTGATGTCCTAACCTGTCCTACTGACGGTTTTTCTCAAAATTTTAGTAGTGTTAAGACCCTTATCTTTTACAGTTCTAAAACTTCCATAGATGATTATGCCACAGCCAATCTCTGGTTTTCAACTGATATAGGACGCAGTCATTAATTCACATCTAAAAAACGGTTTAGTTTCTAATTCAGGATAAGTCTGACTTTTCAAAAAGTTTATCAACTCTAAACAGTTCAAACAATAATTTGTTTTTTAGAATTTTTGTGGGTATATTTTATTTTTGTGGGTATATTTTTTTTGTGGGTATATTTTATTTCTGTGTGTGTAACATATACATATGTTATAGAAATATATTAAATATAGAAATAAATATATAAATATTAAATATAGAAAGTTTTCCCTATTTCATAAGTTAATTTACATATATACATGTAATATGTAAATTAACATGAAATAGAGAAAACTTTCTATATTTTACATTGATACTGCAGAAACTTTGCAGGTAGTTTTTATATATATATATATATATATATATATATATATATATATATATACACACACACACACACACACACACACAGAGAACTAAATGAAATTTTAAAAAGCTATACCAATTCTATTACTAAATAGTTTTATTAAACTTTTATAATAGATATATTTTAATATAATTAAAATATACCAAATTGCATGTTCTAGTTGAAAACTAATCACTTTTCTCTAATTCTAAAATATCACTCTATATAGATATGAAGTTTGAAAAGATTGCACAATAAATTGTTAACTGAAGTTATCTCTGTGAAGTAGAACTGATTTTCTAAAACTGGCAAGCACTATATTTTCTCTCCCCCACCCTGGTACTGGGGATTGAACCCAAGGCCTTGCATAAGCCAGGCAAGTACTCTACCCCTGAGCTACATCCCCATTTCCCGCCTTTTCTTTTGGTACCAGGCATTGAACCCAGATATGCTTAATCATTGAGCCATATCCCCAGCCCTTTTAATTTTTTATTTTGAGACAGGGTCTTGCTAAGTTGCTTCAGGCCTTGCTAAATTGCTGAGACTGGCCTTGTGATCTACCTGCCTCAGCCTCCTGAACTACTGGGATTACAGAAGTGTAGCACTATCCCAGCTCCTCCCTATCCCTTTTTATTTTGAGACAAGATCTTTCTAAATTGCCCAGGCTACCCTAGAACTTGCACCCTCCTGCCTCAGCCTCCCAAGAAGCTAGGAGTACAAGCATCTGCCACCATGCCTCACTAGATTTTCTTAATTTCAGGAAAAACAAATTCTTTAAAGCTTGAAAAATACAGAAAAAAGTTAACAAAGAAAATAAAAAATCCCTAATTTTATCATTTTTATATTTAAAATACTTGAGATCTACCCCAAGATCTCTGGTTTTCAACTGGTATAAGACGCGGTCATTAATTCTTTAAAATACTTGAGATCTTTAAAATACTTGAGATCTACCCCAAGTGTTAAGTTATATTACTACATGAATGTTCAATCATCTAACAAGATGATAAAAGATGGGGGTTGATAATAAGCAATTGATTAGCTAAGAGACAATATTTCCTTCCCCTCTCAAAAAAAGTCAGTGATTCATGACATTCAACAGGAACTTTATGGTGAGACATTAAGCTTCTTCGGTATACTGCAAGTTAAACATTTCAGGTTGGACTCAAAAGATGAGCTCACTATCAAGATCAATGAGGTGGTGGGACTCCAGTACATGTGTCAGGCTAGAATTGCCATTTATATTTTCTCCCTAACTTCATTTATCAAACACTAAAAAGTAGTTAGTAATAATATCAACTTGTGTTACTACAACACATCTGTCAATGTCTCCAAGTGTAACCAGAGAGAAAATAAAATTCTGAAGCACTGGGATATACCTTCAGATATTCACTATATTCATCCTCAAACTTCTTGCCCCAGATACTGTTACCTCCTCTTCCAGTACCTATATTACAAGACAAGAAAATCAAAAGATATATATTTTTTAAAAATTTGTTTGTAGTTATAGATGGACAACATGACTTTATTTTGTTTATTTTTATGTGGTGCTGAGGATTGAACCTAGTGCCTCATGCATGCTAGGCAAGTGCTCTGCCACTAAGCTACAGCCCCAGCCCCCAAAAGATATATTTAAAGTTAAAAAAAAAAACATTCAATTTCTAAAACTTAGGGGAACTTTAGAGCATAACACTTTAAATACAAATAAAATTTTATATTGTAGTTCCCCAGCTTTCACTTTACAAACCAGAAAAATAAAATACATCTATCGAAAAAAGAAAGAAAACCCTCCTTAATAATATCAGTCAGAATTTATGGGCAAGTGTGAATACCATCTGCTTCAAAGTTTCTTGCTGTTATAAGGAGCCCATTATACAGACACCACATGCTTTGTTTTTCCATTATTCTTTTCACCCTCTTCTTCATATTATACATCTAATTCCTCTGATGTTAGTTAATGGAAAAATTTACCTGTTGGATCTCCTGTTTGAACCATGAAACCCTTGATATTTCTATGAAATATACAGCCGTTGTAGTAATTACTGGCACAAAGAGCCAAGAAATTCTGAAGAGAAAAAAAAAAATGATGATTGAGAAATAGTACAGCAGAAATGAGATAAAGAACCAATCATATTTACTGAAAAAACATGATAGCAGTGATATTAAATATGGTTTTTAGGTATTACTTTGGTAATGTCACTTCCCTGCCAAAAACCCTTTAGAAAGCTTCCCTTTGCTCTCAGAATAAAATAAAATATAAAGTCTTAGTCCTTATTAGCAGGGCTTAACAAGGCCTACATGATCTGGCTCCCCTCTGCATTTCATATGATAATAATCCTTTCTCTGTTGCTTACTATGCTGAGCCTATTAGCATTTTGGCAATTCATCCAAAAGGGTAAGGTTTTCCTTGGGGACTCTGTACCTGCTACTTCTATATGTAGAATTTTTTGGTTTGGTTTTTGGGGTGCTGGGATTTGAATTCAGAACCTCACACATGCTAGACAATGGCTCTATCACTGAGCTACACTCTCAGTACCTAAAATGTTCTTTTCACATCTCTTTCCATTGAGATGATTTCATACCTTCTGCACTCAAGTTTGATTATTAGTTTCTTGGGTAGATCTGTCCATACCTTAATTAGCTTCTTTCCTATTGTATTTTTCTGTACCTCAATACTCTACTTTACCTTTTAGAATCATTTAGTCTTCATGTCCTATCTATTTTCCCAGCTAGATTAGCTCCACAAGAGCAAGGAGTGTCTCTTGTTCACCACTGTATTCCCAGATCCTGGCAAGATAACCTTTCACCAGTAACGGAATGAATACACACAGCTTTCTCTCTCTCTTTTTCCCTTAACCACATCCCCAGCCCTTTTTTATATTTTATTGAGATAGGTCTCACTAAGTTGCTTAGGGCCTCACTAAGTTAGTTGGTAGGGCTGGCTTTGTACTCACAATCCTCCTGCCTCAGCCTCCTGAGTCACTGGGATTATTGGCGTGTGCCACATTGCCCAGCTTGCATTATTGATTTTTTATTTGTTCTTTTTGGTTGTACATAACAGTAGAATGTATTTTGGCATATCATGGAATATGGAATATAATTTCCCATTTTTTAGACCTTTATTTTATTTATTTATTTTATGTGGTGCTGAGGATCAAAACCAGTGCCTTGCACATGCTAGGCGAATGCTCTACTGCTGAACCACATGCCAACCCCTGCCCATTTTTTTAAAAAAAAATTTTATTAGTTGTTGATGGACCTTTATTTATTTATATGTGGTGCTGAGAATCGAACCCAATGCCTCACACATGCTAGGCAAGCGCTCTACCACTGAGCCACAACCCCAGCCCCATTTTTTTTTAATATTTATTTTTTAGTTGTAGTTGGACACAATACCTTTATTTTATTTATTTATTTTTATGTTGTGCTGAGGATCGAACCCAGCGCCTTGCATGCGCTAGACGAGAGCTTTCTAACACCGAGCCACAACCCCACCCCTAACTTCCCATTTTTGTGGTAGTACATGATATACAGTTACACTGGTCGTGTTATTCATATATGAACATAGGAAAGTTATGCCTGATTGCATTATTTTTAATATGTACATACAGTACTCACCTCACATGTTTTGGGAGTCCTCTCACAGAAGACTTCTATTTTAATGTCACCTACATCTGTATGCAATGTCACAGACTAAAAAGGAGAGAGAATATTGAACAAATGAGATTTCTTTATGTGACTACAGATACTGTATTATTTCCCTGACTAGATTCAAGATGATAATCTAATTAAAAACAGAAATACTGCTTAGAAGATGACCCAACTACATATCAGCTCTGAGATGAGTTGTACTTCTTACCCCAAATTTATTTCAACAGCAGGGAAAAACTCCAAAAGACAAACATTAATGTTAGTGCAAAGTGGTATCTCTGCTAAAAAAAAATTGGAAGCAAATATTGTGATGAGAATAATTTTTGAGGGGTTGGGATTGTGGCTCAGCGGTGGAGTGTTCGCCTCGCACGGGAGGGACCTGGGTTCGATCCTCAGCACCACATAAAAATAAAAGCATTATGTTATGTCCATCTACACCTAAAAAATAAATATCAAAAAAAGAGAATAATTTTTTGAACTTTTTAGTTGTATATGGACACAATACCTTTTTTTCATTTATTTATTTTTATGCAGTGCTGAAGATCGAACCCAGTACCTCACAAGTGCTAGGCAAACACTCTACCACTGAGCCACAACCCCAGCCCAAGAATAATTATTTAGGTTTGAATTTTTCATGAATAAAAATAAAAATAATTGGGCTGGGGCTATAGCTGAGTGGTAGAGCGCCCGCCTCACACGTGTGAGGCACTGGGTTCGATCCTCAGCACCACATAAAAATAAATAAAAATATTGTGTCTAACTACAACTAAAAAAATAAAAAAGAATGCTGTTTTAAAAAATAAAAATAATTGTCATATATTATTGCTTTATGTCACAAACATCATTTTTTTAATATTTATTTTTCAGTTTTAGGTGGACTCAATATCTTTATTTTACATTTATGTGGTGCTGAGGATCAAACCCAGTTCCTTGTGCATGCTAGGAGAGCATTCTACCACTGAGCCACAACTCCAGCCCCACCAACATCACTTTTGTTGGAAAATGGTAAGTAAGAAATTATTTCCTCAAAACATAGTATCCATTATTTCCTGTAGGTAGTTTAATTCTAATAGAATTTTAAAAAATTCCTTTCTTGACTATACATAACAAAAGCTAAAAAGTTGTCAATGTTTCTATATCCTTTGCAGAGGTAACCATAGTGCTCTTTAATTGCTTTTTATTTATTTTATATTCTGTAGTATTTGTTGTTTTGGTTTGTGTATACCTTTGCCATCCTGTTATCCTATTTTAGAGAGGGTAAAAAACATTTGGAAAAGGCTTTCTTTTTCATTTATTTATTTATCTATTTATTTATATATTTGGCAGGGGTGCTTAACCCTGAGGCACATTCTCAGCCTTTTTTATTTTTTATTATGAGACAGAGTCTCACTAAATTGCTTAGGGCCTCACTAAGTTGTTGCAGCTGGTCTCAAATTTGTAATCCTCTGGCCTCAGCCTCTTGAGTCGCTGGGACTACAGGTGTGCTTCATGGCACTGGGCTCACTTATCTTCTTAAAATAGTATCTAATAGAATAGAATTATGTTGAAGATGGTGATAGGAATATATGTTGGGGGAAGAAAAGGGCACTTTTATTGCTTTTCTTCTTCTTTGAGTTCTAGTTGCTCTCCTTAGACTGAGAGCAAAGGAATTCAATTTAAATGATTATACTTACTATTGTCTTCTGATAATCCAACTCATCTTTTTCATTATCAATTTTTTTCCATAAAAAATAAATTCTGTGTATTTTAAGTGAAAGTATGAAAAATTTGCCAGGTGTAGTGGCAAACACCTACGGTCATAGTTACTAGGTACACTGAGACAGGAGAACAAGTTGGAGGCCAGCCTCAGAACTTAAGTTTTTTTGTTTTGTTTTTTGAGACAGGGTCTCAAAATTATAATTCACCAACAAAATTTTTAAAAAATCATTCTACATTGTATGCTTTGATAATCTATCATTTGTTTATCTTGTCACTGAAATTTCCATGTATTTTTATTTTCCTTGGCCAAATTTCCAAAAATTACTTATAATGAAAGAATTTAAAAGAATTCTGTAAAGCTTACCATTTTTCTTCGTGATGGTTTCAGGAAGTACGATTTAATTTCTCAGTCTTTCAGAGAAAATCTTGAAAATAAGTTTCTATTCCTAAAAGAAAAAAGAATCAGTTCATTTTTTTCCTATCTCGTTCACTCACACACGATTATATTTACTGTTTTAAAGAAAAAGTCTTAAATTGCATCATAGAAGTAAAGAGAATAGCCTACTCAACTCAAGCCCCCAATCTCCTACTTCCCCTGACCTTCCCGACCCTCTTTGTAGGACAAACCTGTTATACGCGGACTTTAGAGTCTAGGCACTGGGTATTTCCTTTATTTGGAAGACTTACATTCAAACATTTGAAAGGGCCAATTTCCTCATTTCCAAGTCTGCGTTCAAATATCAGGTCTTACTGACCCTATTTAAAATTGTTTTAACCCTAAGACCTGCCCTATTTCTTTCTCCCATAATATTGATCACTAATATACTACATATTTTCCCATTGACTTGACAATAACACTCTCGCCGAACAGAATGTTCACTAGAGTATCCGGAAAACTAAAACAGTGCCAACACAGAGCTCACCAAACATCTGAATAAGTAAATGAAAAAATAAATGATATTCCATACTTACCACTTCGGTTAGCACAGTCGTTGTTAAAACAGGAAAGATACAATCGCCTTAAACCGCAGGTCTGTTGACTGGAAATTGTAGTTTCTTTGGGCCACCAGAAGTCAAGCGTGGGGCCCCTTATGTGAATTCCTTTTATCTCCCCTCTCCTCCTACAGCAAACCAAAACGAATAGAACTAGAGGGATAATGTTACTTATCCTACACCTGAATTTGACAGTGAAAGAGATCTTTATTAATAATCACAAACAGAGAAACAACATAATCCGGAACTACCTGGCCAAACAAAGCAATGCTTTAGACTCGGAAGTAAAATGGTCTGGACCACTTCCGCCCGGCGCCGCGTGGAGGAAAATAAGCTCAGTACCGGAAGTGACGTACAGGAGAGTTTCCGGAACCGGTGAGTAGTGGGCGATTTCAAAACTTACTGGGGTAGTTGTGCTCTTTGCCTCAAGTCGTGGTTAGGGTTGGTTGTGATTGTTTTGGAGTGCTGCCGAGAAAGAACATTAGGGAAGAAAACTGTTTCGGCATACGAGAGACACTTGCTGGTCCTGACTCAAGAACGGCTGCCCTACCTGGCTCTTGTCCTGGAAAGGGCTTGAGGTGGCACTGAAATGAAAGTAGATGAAGTGATGTAGAGGGAACATTTTGTAGTTTGTAGCGCCCTACTAATGTTACTAACAATAGCAAACAAGGCTTACGCTTACACTATCCCCTGCTTTATGTTTTGTTCGTTTCGTGGTACTGGGGATTGAACCCAGTAGGACTCTACCACTGAGCTACATCCCCAGATTTTTTTTATGTTTTATTTTGAGGCAGTATCTCTAAGTTGCCCAGACTGGCTTTAATTTTGTGATCTGCCATCCTCCTGCCTCAGAATCTCGAGGAACTGGGATTGCTGATGCCTGATGATACTGAGATTTATTAAAGATAGTTCCTATTTTCCAGTAGCTTTAGCATAGAAGCTAAAAGAATTATAACAGTATGTCAATGTTATGTTGGAGGGAGAAAGGCTTTATTTAGGAAGTTAAAGAGAGTTCGGAAGGGTAATACTTAAGAGTAATGGAGAGGTGATGAGGGTCGTTGAAGCAAGGTTGGGGAGAATAAAAATAAGGATATGAGCCAGTCCTGGTGGGGCATGTTTTTGGTCCCAGCAAATTGGTAGACTGAGGCAGGAGAGCAAGTTCAAAACAAACTTAGTAATACCCTGTCCCCAAATAAAAGGGACTGGCAATGTAATTTAGCGGGAAAATGAAACTGTGTAGTATCCCCAGTATCCAAAACTTAAACAAATCACCAAGGTATGGGGAGAGTGGAGGAGGAAGAAATGTATATTAGTATATTATATGTGAGGTTTTGCTAGGTGACATATTAATCTATTTGCTTGTCCAGATGGCCTGCAGTGTAGGTTGGGTCTCCATTTTGTACATGAGAAAAAAGCTGTCAGACGTTAATGACTTACTTAGGCTACATTATGCTGGAAAGGGGCAGAGCCACTACTTGAAACCAGGTCTGTATAATGACATATTTTCCCCACATGCTTTGATGCCTTTTAGGTCCAGACCTAAAGTGTTCTGGAGTACCATTTCCTGTATTTTGACTTCGGATACTCAGTTTTACCTGATTTCTGTATGTTATCATCTTGTGTACGCTTGGTTCCCGCAACAGTCCAGCTTGTCCAGTCCGGTATCTGCATTACTTCCCGTTCCTTCATGGATTTGAAGGCTCTTCTTTCCTCCTTGAATGACTTTGCATCCCTCTCATTTGCTGAGAGTTGGGACAATGTTGGATTACTGGTGGAACCAAGTCCACCACATACTGTAAACATTCTCTTCCTGACCAATGACTTGACGGAAGAGGTAATGGAGGAGGCTCTGCAAAAGAAGGCAGATCTCATCCTCTCCTACCATCCACCTATCTTCCGACCCTTGAAGCAGATAACCTGGAAAAGCTGGAAGGAACGCCTGGTGATCCGGGCTCTGGAGAATAGGGTTGGCATCTATTCTCCTCACACAGCCTATGATGCTGCACCCCAGGGAGTCAACAACTGGTTGGCCAAAGGGCTTGGTGAGAAGCCTCTTGTTCTTTCATATTTAACATTTTCCTACAAATACTTAGAAATTTTAAAATGTCTTTCCAGTAAAGTTTTAACTGTTTTAGGGGTGAGGGGACATCATTTGATTTTTATATGTCTAAAATAATGTTGCTGAAGTCTGGCCGTTAAATTGCATTTGAAAAACCAAACATTGTTATCCTTAATGAATAAGGAAAGCATAAGAACTCATCATTGTTAGGCAACTTCACAATTCTTCATTCATGTGATGCAGTGACTAGAACCCAGGCATTCAAACAATGCTTGAATTGAAATTGAAAGCTGAGGCCTGTCCAGGATATACTTGGTATGTTAGTGACCGAGACATCGGAGTTTAATAATGTCCAGTGTAATGAAGGAATTCAGCATATGTGTTTTAGCTTTATTTTTGTAAGTTATTTTAAGATAATACTTTCTAATAAGCTTTTCTTGAGTGACTTTTTTTTAATACTTATTTTTTAGGTGTAGATGGACACAACACAATGCCTTTCTTTTTATGTGGTGCTGAGGATCGAACCCAGGTCCCACCTGTGCAAAGCGAGCGCTCTCCCGCTGAGCCACAATCCCAGCCCCTTGGGTGACTTTTGATAAGTCATTGTGGGCTAAAGCTTTTATGATGAAACATCTCTAGTAATGTGTTCAACAGATTATGAACATTTGTCACCTGGAAAAAATGGGTACATTTTACATGGATAGATTTACCAAGCAGTAGATAGATAATCTGTATCACCTAAAAAAAAAAAAAAAAAAAAAAAAAAAATTCCACAAGTCAGTCTTTCTTGTCCAGATTTTTCTGAAATTTAAAATACGGGAATATAATTCAATAATGTTTCTCTCTCTCTCTCTTTGTGGTGCAAGAGATTGAACCCAGGACACTCTACCCCAGAACTGTATATATTCCCAGCCATTTTTATTTTTTATTTTGAGATAGTTCTTCTTTGGCTAAGTTGCCCAGGCTGCCCCTGAACTTGCAATCTTCATACCATGTAGCTAGAATTAAAAGTGTGCACCGCTGTGCTTGGTTTGATTTTTTTTTTTTTTTTTTTTGGAATGAATTTGATTTTGTATGTCCATACCAAATCCTTAGACTATAGGGGTATATATGTGCGTGTGTATTACAAAAACATGAAAGTGTATTTTTTTTGTGGTGCTGATGGTAGAACTAAGGGCCTTGTGTATGTCAGACAAGCTCTCTATCACTGAGCCACATCCCCAGTCCAAATCTTAAAAAATACATTTATTTTGCCTAGAATAGTTTATCTTACTTTTTAATTTTAAAAGAAAAACAAACAAGAACTTTAGTTTTCCACAATTTTTTTTCTAGGAGCTTGCACCTCCAGTCCTATACATCCTTCCAAAGCTCCCAACTACCCTACAGAAGGAACTCATCGAATAGAATTTAGTGTTAACCACACCCAAGACCTGGAAAAAGTCATGTCTGTAGTGAAAGGAATTGGAGATGTTTCGGTCACTTCTTTTTCTGCTAGGTACAATGTATTTTTCTCTTTTTTCTGTGTATTTATTGGTAAGTGTATTTATTGGTAAGTGCTTTCTTTGTTTTAATTTACTTTTTATTCTGATTTGTTATATATGACAGCAGAATGCATTACAATTCATATTACACATATAGAGCACAATTTTTCACATCTTTGGTTGTATAAAATTCACACATTTTGTGTCTTTATATATGTACTTAGGGTAATGGTGTCCATCTCATTCCTCCATCTTTTTTACCCTTATGCCACCCGCCCTTCCGCTCCCACCCCTTTGCTCTATCTAGAGGTAAGTACTTTCTTACAAAGTCTGTAATTCTGTCTTAGCTTTCTATTGCTATGACAATATAACTAAGAGAAATCAAAGAAAGAAAGAGATTAATTTTGGTTCATGGTTTCAGAAGTTTCAGTCCATAATTTCTGGGCTCCGTTGTTTCTGGGCCTATGGTGAGGCAGAACATCATGGTGGAGAGAGTAGTGGAACAGTGCTGCTCCCCTCATGGCAACAGCAAAGCAGAGAGAAAGAGGAAGGAGCCAGGGCCATGGCCAAAATATACCCTTCAAGGATACCACCCCAGTGATCCATTTCTTCCAAGTAGGCCCCGCCTCCTAATATTTTTACCACTTCCCAATAGCCCATTGAGTTATGAATCCATAAATGAATTAATCTATTGATAAAGTCAGAGCCCTCATGATCCAGTCATCTCCCAAAGGTCCCCACTGCTCCATTGTGGACTAATCCTTCAACACATGAGCCTCTGGAAGAGTCTTCAGGTACAAACCATTATACTCTGATACTTAGGTTTGAAACAAATTATATTTTCCTGGCATTGGTTTACAAGCTGTGTATTTCTCATGTGCCTGTGGATTCCAGACAAGGTGAACTGTGGAATCTTTTCAAAATAATTAAAATGGTAATATTTATTGAATATTTTCCACTTGGGAGGGATCATACCATACATTTTACATGTAGTATTTCTAATCCTCCTGGTAATGTTTAGGGGTAATTCTTTTTACTTTAGAGAATGCAGACAGACCCTAATTATGTAGTAATAATATAAGGCTTGCTTTTCTCAGTTCTTGGCAAATTAGTGATCCTTAAACACTTGAACAGAAAAATACATTGAAGTTCCTCTTATAAGGTCAATTATTTAGTTATTTAGGGCAGAGAGGGGTGATTTTCTTTTAGTCTGATACCTGTGGAAGTACCAGAAAAGGTGGTAGGATCTGGGGGTTTAGCTCAGTGGTAGAGCACTTGGCTAGCATGGGCAAGGCCCTAGGTTCAGAATTACAACCCCTCCCAAAAAAGACAAAGAAAAAGCAAGGTATACAGAGTGAGGGTTGAACAGTTGTTTAAAAAATAATGATAAATATGACTCTTTATTAAAATTGAAATCATTATATGAGGTTACACCAAAAAATGATCTCTGTAATGAGTGATTATTATTATTATTATTATTTTTTTGTATTTTATTTAGAGATGGAGTCTCACTAAGTTGCTTTAGGGCCTTGCTAAGTTGCTGAGGCTGGCTTTGAACTCACAATCCTCCTGCCTCAGCCTCCTGAGCCTTTGGGATTGTAGGCGTGTGCCAGTGTGCCTGGCTTAATGAGTGATTTTTTAAAAAGTATTGATTCCTTATTGTAAAGTCATCGAAAATATCTTGGAGTATTTCCAGAGAATTTTAAGAATCTCCAGAAAAATTATTCCTGGGACTTTGCAAAGATTTC